TCGATCAATATTTATTTAATACGCACGCACAATTACGGATAAACAGCATCCACCGCAGTGGCTTTTAAATTCGGCTAAGTAACTCGGCAGAGAAAAAAAAACTAATAAAAGAGGCAGACGTCAGTTGTCTTTGTGGATACATTAACTAGATGGCTCATACCGGGGGCCTTCCTGCCGCTGCCAAAACCATTGCAAGGCTCCCCAATTTCCACCGGCAGTACGCTGTTAAATAATGAGATGAATTGCTTTTTTTATGCTGACCAGGCGCGCCGGCACCGGTTCGGGAAGGTGACTTTCAGGCACCGCTGATTTAATGAGTCCTGTGAGCTTAGCTCCCTGCATCACGAGTGAATTATGGAAATGCCGAAAAAAACTGAATGAGATGTCCGACGACATTTCAGGAAAATCGGGAATATCTTCGCTTAGCTTGGCTTGAATGTTTCTCAGGTGTGTTGTACTTCAAACCCTTGAGGAGTCGTTGAATAAATCTATCAAGTATTCATCTTAAACCATGCTTTCATTTTTGATCATATAAAGCTATGTGTATGGAGCTCCGTTGCATGAAATGTTGCGTCTGCCAATAGAACTATATAGCATTGGAGGGAGTCTATGGAACAAAAAATACGAGCCGCGTTGACATCAGTGAAAGACCACACAATGTGATGCAGTCTTATCAGATGGTGCCGTCAATGTTAAGAGCACGGACAGGTGAGCAGTGTGTGGCACCGGAGATAACGTCACAAGTGAAGCGTTGAGTGGCAGACCTGTTTGGCCAGAATGAGCCACGCAATGTCTTCTCAAAACCTTTGCCCTAGAAAACAAGTCAAGAAAATGCACCAGACTCACCATGAACATTGCTTTATAAATAAGACAAGGTGCAGCCCTGGGATGTCTTGCTCATGCCACAGCTAGAAGAAGATCCAGTGGGCTCTAGGGAGACCCACCAGGAGAGGGTATGTGGCCTACTCTTCCAGGCTGGCCAAGGCGTCTTGGAATCGGTGGGAGTATCCACACTTCACCCCACAACACACAACCTGCCGATTGAGCAACATACCACTGGGTAGATTTAACAAACGTGCACCATTGTCGCAACTGCTGCACCGTGATATTGAACTGGTTTGCCTCTGGATTTGCAAGTCCAGTGTGCTGACCCATGGCACCACATCCCCGCTTGATGATGCAAACATTTATAACAGACAGACGTTTAAGAGCAGAGTGACTAACCAGCTAAAAGTTGAAGATCTTACTTTACAATTAATAAACTGTGGAGTTGACGAATGACACGTGTTGGGTTTTGTTTATGTGAAGCAGTTATGCAGTCTCAAGTTAATATGCATTTGATTTGACAAGCACATGCAAGTCAAATCATGGAAACACGAACCGTTGTAAATGAAAGCACATGTTCATTTGAGACTTCATAACTGCATCACAACAATTAAAACCCGTTTAACTTTGTCCTGCTCAAGAGCGTTTAGTCGTTCGTGTTTAGTGCGACCTCCAAACGATAAGCCGGTCAAACTTTCTGCTCGCTCTCAGGCTCATGCCACTCGATGACGCCTGGTCTATTCATCCACGTTGACCAACACATGTTGGAAGAGCTGGGAGACAACCCGCCACTCTTTAACCATCCACATGTGACCTGCCGACGGAAAGTGTTGAGGGGGATTTTAGAAGCTTGCACCATTGTTGCAACTGCCGTGCCAAATTGAGGAACTGTGTGCTAACCGTTGTACCAGGGACGCTTTCCTTTGCTATTGTAGGGACGTGTTCATGATGAATGTCGGTTGGCCTTTGTATTTGTACACTCGCGCCTCTGCTAATGCGGGCCATTAATATTTTATTTGATGTTTTGCATATACAGTAGTGCACAATGACGTCCTTTACTTAAGGCGGAAAAAGCCCATTGAAGTGCTTGTTCTCTTTTGTTACAATGAGCTATATGACTATAACAAGACAAAGACCCCCCCCCCCCCCGTATAGGCTTATGGGGCACCTATGAAGGCCGCCACTGCACACGAGGGGGTGGGTGTCCAACACCACGCCCGGCTGCCTTTGTCTCCATAGTGGCGATGTTTACACACCGCACCAGGTATTCATTTGAGGCTGAGTCGACCTAAGGGAGGCCCAGAACCGGTTCAAGATATTCGTCACCGATGTTGGCCGTGAGCGAATCGAACTCGGGTCGCCGGGTTCGTAGTGCAGCGTAGCGCTAACCTCTCCACCACTGCTCCCCACACCCCCGCTTTATACACAGAGAGACATATATTACATGCATCTGTATACATTACATGGTCTCTTTCTTAACATAAACTTATACACTCGTACTACAGTTGGCATATATATTTTAAAAAATTATACGTCTTCCCCTTGAGAGGAAGAATCTAATAAACAAAACATGAGCTGCATAAAATGTTCCCGGACATATTGATTTCCCTAAAATAATGCAGCAGCCTTTCAAACGCAATTTGAGTCTTGTAAGCCATGAGACATGTTTACATTAGTACAGACGTGCTTTGCCAAATCCTCTCCATCTGCCCGTCGGAGCAACTTCAACTGAAGTTGGCGCAAGAGGCCAGTCACCCAAAGTCGGACGCCCAGGAGAATACGATGTCAAACTTTCAGACGGTGACAAAAAAGCCCCTACCCCTGAAGTTTAGTTAAAACTTTATCTTTGGCGCGTGTTTTGACACCCATTCGGCAGCAGCTGTGCGTTGCGCTGGGTCGACTTATAAGAGGTGGTGTTGTGTTCCGTGTAAGAATTATGCCGTGTTTCTGTTCCTTCTTGTGGTGCAGACATCACCAGTTAGCAATCAACCTCTGCTCCCATATCAACAGCACAGGTTCGCGCGTGACCAAATCACTCTAAATGTGCCCCAATGTCGTCAGATCTCAAGAGCTATGTGATCCAGTTACTACTTTCATGATTACACTGCCGATGAATGTCGGTTGTTGTAGGCTTTGGCTGTGGGGTAACCAGTGAATGGCAGTACATCGGTGGATTCTTGATAATCTTTCCTTTCAGAGTTTTGGGTCTTACCCCCCTGATATTTGTGAGACATTCTCAAGGTACTACGGCTTATTCCTGCATGCCAAATACTTATTAATTGAATTGGCCAAACATCCGGCTGCAGCTAAAAAGGTAAAGGTTCAGCCCTGCAGTGTATTGCCCAGACCACTGCTGGCAGAAGAACCTCCACTGTAGGGAGTTCTAAATTACCCCCTTTTAGAGTGTGTGTTGTACCACTTTTCCAGGCTGACGAGACACCCTGGAAGAGATGGGAATATCTACACTTTACCCAACCACGTGCTACCTGCCGTTCTATCTACTGTTGCGTACCCATGTACACTGGTGGGTGGGAACCTCTTGTAAAGGTGTCCTGAGGCTCAGTGAGGGTTATATGAGTAATCAAGATTATTATTATTATTACTGATAGAACCCGTTGCTCTGCATGAAAATGACAGCTGCCTCTTATTAAAAGTAACCTATTTTTTAACATAATAAAATGCCAAAATAATACATATTGTGACGGTTGTTTTTTTATAATCTCGAGGGGTTAAAGAATAATCTGGTGAAAGAATAACATAAATAATGAGCACAAGTTGAACAGCTAGGCAATGTGAAATGATCCGTGCTATTCTTCTGTATCCCTGACTCCCACCTTCTATTATACGTCTTCCGAATTTCTTTCCACCATTTCAACTCAATTCAAGGTTTACGCGTTCCACGGAAAATCCCATTCATCCAGTTAACCGAGCTAGTTCTCGGGGCAACGGCCCGCAGCGGCCACTCACGATAGAGAAATCGTTGGGGTGGATAGGAGCCCGGCCAGCGGCCAGCCAGAAAACTCGAGGCATCGTTAATTATTGCGAACAATCGTATGATTACGTGGCGCCTTTTCAATTTGAATCTGCGTCCTGGTGCACTCTCACACAGCCACGTGCTCACAGGGTCAGAAAGCCTCCAACAAAGCGATCGCGTGCTCACAGAATAACGCAGCACAGAGCCTGCGGCAAGGTGCCTGTACCCCACTCCATCAAACGCTATTCATGCCCGGGGTCCGTGCTCAGAAAGGGGGAGTGGACCGCAATGCTCACTCATAAAACTAAGCAAATGTTATACATATATATAACCAGCACTCATACATTAAAAATATAGTCATGTTTTTGTGAATGGCTTACACATTTGACGGGATCATGCTGTGTTCCGTACTAATGTGGTGGTTAGCTGTGTATTACTCGCAGATCCTAAACCCTTGTTAATGGAAATGGCCAATCATCTGCTCCGTGACTTCATTTAACTATTTATCAGGTCCCGTGAATTTCATTGGTGGGTTTTAACTTCGCACTAAACAGCCACAAAAATGACAGTTATGCCTTTCTTAAATCAGAATTCAGGTGGTGCTCATCTCCTGTTTAGAGCCCTGAGCCAGTGCTGGAAATTCCACATTCCCATGGTGGGGGGGGGAGGGGGTGAGTCTCTCCAAAGGGACAACCACTGGTTGACTTTGCCAAAAAAGTGGTCATCATTGTGTCGTGCCAAAGTTAGGATTTTAACTCGCAATATTTTGGTTGTGAGCCACTCGTGCGACCGGTGAGCCATATAGCTGGCTGTGATAGCTCATTATAGACACTGACTGTCAAAATAAATGTAAAGATTAAATGGTATCGGGCTACACATAGTTAATAAGCTGACTACCACAATTTTTATCTCCAAAATGTGTTTTTCAGTTGTACCCAAATGATGTATATATGTCCGACGTTCCCTTCTCCTTGCCGGAAGTACAGTTTTATACTTCAACCTGATGTCAAACATCTCGTTTTTAATTCGCATACAATTAACCAAAATGAGTTGTCACGACTCCGCAGTGTGGAATTTTATGCAGGAGTTTGCAAGGCGTGGGCAGTGCCGGCCGAGACCGGCGACGGGGAGAGAAATCTTGCGCCCGATATCAAACCATGCACTCTTTACGTCTCTTTTTTTCCTTTTTTACCCACCGCAGCGTGGATGTTGAGGCACAGGGCCCAGAGACGGTCACGTGCACAGACGGCTCGCTCAGCCGAGACGCCACGGCGGCCTGCTCCCCGGCCCGCGCGTGCGACGACGCCTCGGCCCCGCCAGGCGCCTCCGCCCAGTCGCGGCAATCAACGTCGCGCAGGGCCAGCTTCCAGCGATCCAACTCGGCGCTGCGCCGGGCACAGCAGCAAGCGGACGACGGGACCACGGCTGCGACAGCCGCTGCACGGCGGAAGCACTCGCTCGCCGGGAGCTACGAGCTCTCCTCCGACCTGCAGGATAAACAGGTGACATTCCCCCGTTATCAGTAATCGTGAAGGACCCCTGTACTCGTGTCAATCATCGCTGGCAGTAGTGGCCGCTGCTTAATTCTTTAGTTTTCAAGGTAGGAGAATGACATCGTGCTCTTATCATTGGTGTAAAGGTTAAGATAGTTGCTTATTTTCCCCCACCTCCGATTAGCATGGTTGACAACGTACGGTGCGAAGGAAGTTCAAAATGCATACATACACCGTGGGGCCAGGTCAATGGTGACGATTTTGATGATAGTGGTGTGACTGCTACAGAAATCATGCTATTCTTGCCACGTGCTAGGCTTTAAAAACAGGACATATCTTTGGAAGAAGAATATGCCACAATACTGGAAGAGCGAAGAACCACATGTAAATGCGCTGTTTTGACTGGTGTATTTATATGCAGTTAACACAAACTGAAATTTGTAATGACTCGAAAAGACTTTCAGCTTTTCCACCACAAAAAGTGGAGGATCCTGGGAAAATCAGGACAGGTGGCAGCTCCATCTCACAAGCCATATGGCCGCCAGCACTGGGCTACAAAAGAGGGGGATAATTTGGACAGAGGGCCCAATATTAAATTCCTGGCACCACCAGGGCCCTTGCCAAGCCCGGTTGTGCCACTTGGCTTGACGCCGTAGGAACACCTGTTATGTTGTGAAATTAAATAAATAAGTGGGATTTCGATGGCAACGGATGGATTCTCTGAGATTTAGGCGGTTACTGATTTGGGTCCCCTAACAAATTGATTAATTGTCACGATTCAAGGATCACAATTCGGTTCAAGATCTAATTATCTTAAAACTTTTTAGGGAATGAAAGCTCCTCTGGTGGCTGCCGGGGTGACATGAAATACTTCCATAAAATACCGCATGGACAAATCGATAATAATTAATTCTCACAACAACTATTCGATGCACGTATCTTGAGCAAACAACATGGATTTCAATCGATGAATCAGTGCATTGTGTACACCTCCATGGGATACATTTGATAATAAGGCATTTAGTTGATCCTTAAATGCCTTGATACAATAGGGCAACTAATGTCAGTCATCACTGACATTAGTAGTTGCTGCATACATTTTTGTTTTCAAGGTAGAAGAATTACATCATGCTCTGTCATTGCTGTAAATGTTAATATCGTTACTCATTTCTAGATTTGAAGCTTTCGTGACTGCAAGGATCCATACTCTTTGGTTCTATTCGGTAAAGTCACGTAGGTAAAAAATAAAACAACAAAAATCACGACGTTTCGGCCACAACACAAGTGGTCTTCATCAGTGGAAGGCCACTTGTGTTGTGGCCGAAACGTGACTTTACCGAATAGAACCAAAGAGTATCGTTACTCATTGTGAATCCATTGCCAATAGCTAGATAATCGCCAGCAATGATTTCCCTCAAATAGCTTTCGTGCCTCACAACCTTAACTCTTGCAGTCATTAAATCAGAAATGCCTTTTATTGCCCAAAAATGCCTATGAGGGGAGGGGGGCTCCTGTCGGTAATTCCCAGAGGCATCGCTGAAGAGTCCAACACTGCCTCTGACAATTGGTTACGGCAAGCCACAATCACGTCCACCCGGTCTGACACCGCAACAGGATTGGGTCAATCAATGGCAACGACTGACCAGCCAGCATCCTGGTGAGGCAGCATGCTGACCAATACATTTCGGTCCGCTTGCTCAATCGTCCGAGCAAATACGGTCATAATGCAGGCCACTCTAAAAACTGGCTATTATGACTCAGCGTACAATTTGTTGACCACCCGGTATATAATTTGTCACCATTTCACGTGTGTTAAAACGTCCTTTGTCCATTGTAACACGCCATAGTAGAGACATATACAACTGAGCAAGTGGAATAATAAATGACCACTGTTTGCCCACATGGAGGCTTAATTGGAGCAGTGAACTTTATCTGTGTGTGCCAAATGCCAGGCTTGGCACCAGTAAGCAAGGCTCGGTTGAGTCATAGGCCACTTTTATGTACTTTGTGATGCATGGACATTGCCAAACCAAATGCTGCTATGATTAATAGTGGTTGTTCCGATGGTCCCAGAAGAACTTGCAATACATTACAGCACTCTGTGCAAGTGCTACACTACTCATAACATGTACACGTATGGCACCTTTGTAAATCCACCGCTGGATGAGGGCCACCACACACCGTGTGGGTTTCTTTTTGCCACGCAGGTCAGTGCAGGGTGGTGAATGGCGCAGTGGGCACAGATGTGGGGGACTTAGTACACGATACAGCGATGGATTCTTCTGCACTACCCAATTCTGGCCACAACATTGGTCCTGCAGCAGCCACTAAATGCCTGTTTTGCACGGTGGTCTCTAATTCAAGTACCATTCAAACTTTAGCCCGACATTGCTTCTGAGATACGATGAGGCCGGGTGCATTCCGGGTAATGTGGTCAGAGTAGTGTATAATAAATATACTCCCAAAAATATGCATGGATACCTGCATATTCCATTATTCAGCAACGAGTTATTAAATCTTGTCACCCAGAGGCGTGCACTGAGGACACTAGTTGGTGTGATGGAAATTGATTGCGTGTAGAATGTCTCTCCTTTGGTTAGGAGTGTTTCAATTAGAGGAGAGAAAAATAATTCCACCAATTCCACCTCCCCCCACCCACACACCCGTGGCAAAGTAGCGTGTCATGGTGTCATGAGCAAAGAACGTCTTGTGCTCAAGCAGCCGCACGTTGGCTTGATTCACAATGCGTACAATTATTGATGAGCGCCAAAGTGGTCCTGGAAATTTAATGTGAATTGCGTGAACTCGCAGTCGTTGTTCGTATTGGCTGCCCTTCTTGTTCTGTTTGCCAAGTCCATGCATTCCGAGTGAAAGGAATGCATCAAGCCTGCTTTTATTGACATTTTAGCCTCGTGTACAGATCCCTAAAGTGGGAATCGAATCTTCTGAGCCAATCGCAATCGCTCAGCGAAGCAACGGTCATTGGTTTACTGTAATAAGAGTAGGACAAATGTACCTCAGCATTTCAAAGTTATGCTGCTGCCAAATTGCTACGTGTCATTATAAACGTTGTGGGCCATAAGCTGAACACACCCGACACGAGTGTTTTCTCTCAACAGTAAACTGCTGAGAGTGCGCGCGTATTTTTTTATTTTCGCCGCATGCGTTTTCGTGGTTGTGCTGTACCGCTCTCCGACGCGTTTTCAGGTTGTACCTCGCGTTATCCAGCACGGCATCCGACGTAACGCTCCATGCACGTCGGGAGCTTCTTTCATGACCGCTACTGAAGCTCTCAGCATGTGGAGTGAAACGTCGGACACCGCGCCGAACTCGTCCGAGAACTGTACGTTGTTATTTTTTCTTTGTTCCAGGTGGAGATGCTGGAGCGTAAATACGGGGGCCATTACATCAGCCGCCGTGCAGCGTGTACCATACAGACCGCCTTCCGAGAGTACCAGATGAAGAAGCAGTTCCGGAGGATCCGGGACTCCATGTGTGAGAACCGCGTCTCCAAGGGCACTCGGATGCAGCTACCGACCCAGGAGTCCCCCATTGCGGGGAAGGCGCCACCACAAGGAGGACTTGCACCCACAACGGCCGTGACGGCCGTGATTGCGGCCTCCACAGACCGGAAGTCCGAGGGCAAAGAGGGCCCGAAGCGGACGCGGCATGGCGGGCGACAACAGGGAGACACAATCACGGAGCTGGAAGACGCCTTCTCTAAGCAGGTCAAGTCGCTTGCGGCCTCCATCGACGATGCGCTCAACTGCAGGGGCCTGAGCAAGTCGGACGAGGAGAAGCTGGACTCGCGGTCGGCGGGGAACGATGGCGGCTCCTCGACGCTGACGCTCCTCCCCAAAGACGAGCTCGCGGAGGACCCCAGCCAGGTGGACGACGGCATCGTGAAGGACAAGCTGGCCGCGTCGTACAGCGACATCACGCTGTACATCGACGAGGACGCGATCACGCCGCCGTCTCCGACAAACCGTATCTCTGCCGCGCCAGCAGTGGCGACGGCGGCGGCCGCGTCGTTTATTGCCCCAGACAGATTCCACTCGGGGTGCAGCATCTCCGAGGGCAGCCAGACACACACGTACGTCAGGAGCACGTTCCCTAAAACGACCGTCGCCTCCCAAACCGTGAACATGGCCAGGGACATGCGGGCGATGCCCATCGTGGAGAAGGCCCAGGTTCTCATGGACTCCTTGAGCCAGGACGTGCCGAGGAAGCAACATCTCTCGGCCCACCCCTTGAGCCCGAAGAGCCCCTCGCGGGGATCCGTCGACTCTGGCTCGCTACCCGGGGCCAGCACGGCGCGGGTCCTACCGCCGGAGGCCCCCTCCGCTCTGCGGCAGGCTGGGGTCCTCAGCCTGGGCGTCAACGGGAGAAGGCAGAGCAAGGCCGACTCGGACTTCTCGGACGCCGACAACGACAGCATCAACAGCACGTCCAACTCCAACGAGACCATCAACTACGGGTCGGAGACGTCATCGCACACGAGCGCACGCGACCCCGCGCTCACGCGACCCGGCTACCACAAGGACGCGCAGGGGGGCTGTGACTCACCCGCCTTCAGCAACGACATCATCCGCAAGCGGCAGTATCGCATCGGACTCAACCTCTTCAACAAGTAAGACGGCAAGCCCGCTAGGGGAGGTCGGGCAGGCGCTTGGACACACTTTCGAAGTTGGGGGTGGTGAGGGGGGGGGGGATGCAGCGCTGTCCAATTGTCATTGATTAAGCCGGGTCCACGCTTGAGAGACCAGCAGCACACAACTGAATCGTTTCGCACGTGCTTGTCTCTCCGAGCGGTTGCGAGTCCTGAGCGATCGTAAAAAAAATCCCGTTGCTGACTCCTAAAGAACAATTACTGGTTTAGTATGGAGCCTGCCGGTCTTCCGTGACTATGAATTTAAGGGTTTCATCATCAGCATGTTCAGCTGTTCACGTCAGCTTGTTGAAGGGAGAAAAACGCGGACTCAGTAATACAATGATTATATTGTCCAAAATGTTGTGGGTGTCCCTTAGCCATAACCAAACACGGGGTTTACCAGCCACCTATACGGCCCACACCAGCTGAAATCCTTAGCACGGACCACTACTATCAGTGGTGTAACGTGGTTGGCATGGGCCCTGGCGCAAGTAATGAGATTGGGCCCTCTGTCCAATTTCTTCACCCTTTTTCCCTCCAGCCTGTGTGCCCCGGTGCAGTTGCACCACCTGATTCCTAACATCGCTGGGAGTACTCTCCAAATGTATTCAACCGAATGACCCTGAAATGTATAGATCTCGTTGGGTCCTTTGGGAAGCCTAAGCAGGGGTTGAGGCTGGGTCATTACTGAGCTGGGAGAATCCAAGGGAATACCCGGCGTTTGGCAGTACAGCGGTGTGCCGTGTATATGAGGATCTCTGAGTGTTTCCTGCTCGCATGTGTGGTGGGTTTTCTCCAGCTACCCCCTCTTTGCATTAACATGCAACACACTCGTGAATGGAATTGGCCATGATACAACTTGCAGGACCCTCCTGCGATAGAGTCTCGAGACTCAGTGAGGCTCTTCTGGGAAAAATAAAGGCCATGTATTATCATATTTTCATTCCCATTTCTCTTTTCAGATGTGAGATAATTAGGGTCGACAGCTATATGACAAATATATACCCTCAAGGGAAATTAATTTGTGTTCAATTACGATTTTAAAAGTTATTTTCAGATTGAGCAATGGTGCTTCATTATATAGTACATATATAACCATGACTGTAGCTAGAACTGACTTGTCTCTTCTTTTTAAATTATATTTAAATATTCTCCTTCAGTGTATTCTCACCCGTGATGCACACGTCCCACTATCTTGCACTGCGCCTTGAGGTGCCTTTGCATTTAGACACGATATAAATCCAAATTGTATTACATTATGTATATTGTCAAATATATATATTTTGTTTAGCCTAGCCAAAAAAACCCGACACGCTCCATTATTAATGCCTCGCAGCTGTGCATAGCACAGAGGTCTCTGTGGAGCGACGCAGGTGCAAATCATCAACTGTGTGGGTGATGCATTTCATTATTCAGTCACTTCCTTCACTACCCTACGTTATTGTGTGCATGTATGTTGATCTTCTTTCACATTCGCACGTAGCCAACCGTGATAATCCGTCGGCAGAATCAAGCTTGAGCAAAGTGAAAAAAGAGGCCCCAGTCACGCGATTCGTATTTCCACGTGCGTTTTTTTACATGCAAGAAATATTCACCGCGTCGGTTTTCGCGGTTTGGGCTGTATAGCTACGTGATGTTGTTTACCGTTAGTACCGCGTGTCATTCGGCATAACTACTGATCTTTTGTTCCACGTCCTCGGAGCATCTTAGAGGAATGGAATCACATTTTTATCGGGCTGTTATCTGGCTTTTGGCTTCCCATGGAGTGCAACGCTGGACATCTGTGAAAAAGAGATTCATAGCTCATCGGATTTCTCCAGGATGAATAAAGATTATTATTCTGATCATGCTGAACAGCGCACACTGCACAACCTTAAAGCACATCAGAGAGTTAGAAACGAATTCCGGATATGTATTTTGGGTTTTTTTTCATAAATTGTGCAAGAAGTTCAATGGGAAGCCAGGAAACAACGTGTATGGTTTAATGTAAAGCCTACCGGGCCTCATAAGCGACACCTGTTCTCATCAATAACAAGAAAATGCACGGAGGGCTTAAATATTACCGTGAAAGACGTGCACAATGCCGTGTAACATTTGAGCCAATAATCCTTCAACTGCTTAACAATCACTTAAATGGCGAGCAGATGCACTGTGAAAAGTAGCATTTGTCTTCATCACCTCGTGACATGTAATGTAAGAGAGAGGCAGAGAGCAAAGATCCGTGTGTGCAGCTGACAAATGAATGATGATACTAATTTAGTGTTGTGGCTGACTTTCACTTAACTTTTACGTAAACTCAAATTTACCCACACTGCATGTTTAAAATTACAAATTTGCCATTTTCATAGGGTGTTATATATATTCATGTATCTCATATATTTTTGTATTAATTCGTTGATAAAATTCGACAGTTGCTAAATGCATGATGGAACACCCAAAATGTACTGCTGAATCCACTTAGGATGAAAGCGAGAAGCAGACTTACCCAGCTGGTTTATTCCTCCCGACACCCGACAAAGGTAGAGAGGGAAGGACGTTGTGCCCAAGCGCACAGATCACATGACCCGTTCTGCATCGCAACCTGTTCGCTCTGCCCATGTAACATGGCCAAGTTTAGGTACACAGTCCAGGAGGAAATTGCTTTTTGTTGTGGTCGTAATAATAGCCATGCGTCAATCTCCTAACCCACGTTTAGGCTGGACCAAAACAAATGCCAATGCAAAGGATATACGTGATATCAATTTTCAATGGGTTGCCCACATAAGACATCACCGACGTGAGGGGCGACTGGCTGTACTGGAGTCTGCAGCGAGGATTTCTGTCCGAATACTTCAGGTCGGTTTAGCATCAAAAGTGTGCAACCCTGCCAGTTGAGCCGGTCTGCAAAAGTCAACTCGATTGTAATTGCTGCAAAACATTGCTGCTGTTTACATAACAGCATGCCGATGTGCATATTGACCAAAGCCAAGTGATGTGTGCTTTTCATACAACTGCATGAACTGCATCTATCCAGTGCAAATGTTACGCATGCAGAAACCATGTCCGGTGCCCCATTGTTCACGACGGTCAAAAATGCAGAAAGTGGAACAAATGGTCACATAATTGCTCCCTAGGTTTCAAAAGGACGACATTTGAGATGGGGTTTTTTTTTTGCGTGTATTATTATTGCAACTAAATAAATAAATACAAATTGCCTGCAAATTAAAAAATGATCCAAGAAAGGAGACCCGCAGTGCTTGGGACACGTCTCGAGAATGACTACCAAATATGGCAACGCACACCAGAAAGTAAGGATTGAGAAGCAGAGGCAAACGAAGCATGCGTTCGCCAAAGCGGAGGTGGGTGGAGGGGATTGGCGGTGACCGAAGTGGTGAAATCGGTAGAGAGCATACAGCAACAGAGGGACTCCACTAAGACCCATCATTGCTGCTGAGCAGATGGACAGCGCCCAAAGAAGAAAATGAAATAGCACTCGGGAGCTGTGGCGCAGCAGCGAGCGTACTGCGCTGCACACTCGGCAACCTGGGTTCAATCCGTATTACGGTTGATGCCAATGGCGAGTGATATCTGACCTTGTCCTGGCCCCTCTTGAATTATACCAGCATGGTGAAGTATGGTAAAAAAAAACAACATGAATGACACAGTGTGGATGGGTTGACAATAGGCACTAAATTACGTAACAAACAACAAAAAGAAAAAATTCACGACGTTTCGGCCACAACACAAGTGGCCTTCATCAGATGTGTTGTGGCCGAAACGTCGTGAATTTTTTTTTGTTGTTGTTTGTTACGTGACTTTACCGAATAGAACCAAAGAGTATGGATCCTTGCAGTCACGAAAGCTTTAAATCTAGAATAGGCACTAAATTATTATTTTTACAATCGCTCGGACTCTATGCGCAGAAGTTTTCATGTAGAATTTTACATCACCGCTGCCAGCAACTAAGAATCGATGCTTCAGTGGCTGAGACTAAATAGAGACGTAACACCGTCCAAAGTAGTTTAGGGCGCGTTATTGCGAATGCATCATTTTCGTGGCGGAAAGTGTTTTTGCGATCAGTGAGAAGTGCCTTATAAACGTGATCATAAATAGTTAAGGTATACCTACCGGAGCATCTGTTTAAACTAACACGGAATAAATAAAGTTCATCATGACAGAGACTTAATGGGCTTACCAAGACAGATATAATGCATTACGTTGTAATGGAACTTCATTAAGGGGCAGCGACCCACCAAAATAATAATGCAATACTTGTGTTATGACTGTCGTTTAAAATAAATAAGTAAATAAGTGATGTCCTCGTGGATGTCACCATTTTTATCAGCCTTTTCAAACTGAATTGGCTGAGGGCAATGCGGTTGCAGCACTAAACTTACACAATTGTGCTGCACCAAATCATTTGGGTATGATCGGAAACAGACCGTTACCTTCAGCCCATTCCGACAATGGAATCTGTAATAGTCCCATGGAGAGATCCAAAAGGAAGAAGGGAGTTTATTCTAGCAGAAGCTGAATAGGTTTCTATGTACATTCCATAAATACAATGCAAGAGAAAAATACAATGTTTGAAATGCATTTGGCAAAAAATAAACCTTATATTGCATTGTAGTTTTTTTTGCACATTTAATATGACCACAGTTTTCTAACGAGCAGAAAGATATGCTGACCCAAAGACTAGACTCCGTAACATTGAATAGCCTCAATAATAGGGTTTTTCCCCTTGTTTCTGGCAACAAAACTGAAACCTTTATACAAGGAATCATGTCTGCATTAACCACAATACTTGTGGTCAAAATGCAAAAAAAAAAACCACTCTGATAACATATGCATTGTCCTTGAAACTGATTGGTCCACACCAGAGATGGCTTTCTTTTGAGCCTCATGATGTAGATGCTTGCCCCGAGCCCTCATTACTTTAATAGTGCATTGTCTTTGAGCTGTACGCCTTTTGGCGTCTTCTGGTCTAGCACCAATTGAGA